AAAATAATTTATCTCGAAAAAAAAAGGAAAAGTTTATTATCATAAACATTTTAAAAAAAGCACTTGCATTAATCCCAAAAATATATATTTATTTGATATTCAAAAAATTTTCTTGAATATCTTTATTCCATGCAGCTAAAAATTTTTCTTTAATTTCTCCTTTTGGAATTCTAAATGATACTTCTGCACCTCCATTATCTTTAATCCAATTTCCATTTTCTTCTTTAATAGGATTTAATTGAAAAATTCGAAAATAATATTTATAAATTCCTATTGTATGAAATCGACATTGATTTTTCATACCAAAATTAACTTGATCTGCCCAATCATATTTATAATTTGAATTAAATATAGCTTCATCTTTATCCCAAACAAAATTGACTTGTCCATCTTTTATAAATTTTTCCATTAAAATATTAGCTGAAGTTACCCATTTTTGAAGAAAATCTTCTTGACGTGTTGTTTTAATTAATTGTCGAATTGTTTTTGCAATACTTGATAAAGATAGAGGATTTGGAAAATCAGAAGATAATGGTTGCATTATTGCATTAGCTATATAACCTTTTGGTGTCAATGAATCAGATACATCTCGATAATTGATGTACATATAAGTACGATGAATATATTCATCTTCACTATTGAATAAATGTTTGTTCATTAAAAAAATAATATAAGCACAAAGTACATCATGAATTGTTATTTCATTATTATCTTCAACAAGTGAATGTAATTTTGCAAGTTGTTTAGAAGAAAATGACATATTAATAGGATCAGTTTCTGCGTATTCTTTACCAAGACGAGTTAAGATATCTTCTCTTTTACCTGTATTTTGATATAATTTTAAAACAGGTAATAAAGAAAATTTCGAATCTTCTTTATTTAATAAATGTCGTTCAAAAACTGGACGAGGTAGAATAGGTTCAAGATTTTGATAAATTTGTGAAAGATCATTATGAAAATGAATTGTTGAATAAGCATCACCAACCATATGAAAAAAACTTGTACCAAGAATATATTCATTACTACGAACTAAACGAGTTACTTTAATTCGAAGAAGTGGCTCAATTTCAGGTTTATATTGAACTGAATCAATAAATGGTTGAATTAATGTCATATCATCAACAACAACAGGAAGATCTGGCCATTGTTCAAGTTGATCATTTTCAATATAAGTAAATGGAATAGAATTGTCAGTAAATTTAATAAAATATTGATCATCATTATCGACAAGAATACGACCAGTTATAATTGGCCAAAATGAAAGTGTACGACTGAGAGCATTTCGTAATCGATCAACATCAAGTGATGGATAAATAAATACATTATCGATACCACCAAATATTAAATCTGTACTGAGTATTTGTATTCGACGACCATTTCCTGTTGGTGAAGATGCATCAATGTACGAAGTCATGTTAAATTCCTTTTGTTTCTGAAGAATTTCTCTTCTATTTATAGATGTACTGAAGTAAAAATTTCAAAATTATCAAATGTAATTTCGAAAACGATTTGTTGTCTTTTTCTCAAGAATCGAACGTCTAGGTCAAACATAAACCAAAGATAAATAACAAAACCTGCATGGCAAATTGATAACAAAGAAGGATTTTTTTTATTGGTGTCTTTATGCAAGCTAAATAATTGAAGATGACGCAAGGTGTTAATATATTTTTCACTTACAATTGAAACTTTTGTACTGTTAGTAAAGAACATTAGACATATTCAGGTCAAACTTAAGTTCTCACTACTATAATAACAAATTTAAAATATGCGTTGCCCATACCGTTCACTGAGCGAGATAATGGACTTTTTAAGTATTTAAAGTACGGTAAAACCTCTACTAGTGAACGCCTCCTCATTATGAATGGTCTCGAGTTCAACAGTGCGATTTTTGCTGTAAATGTCTCTCTCTAATATGAACACCTTCTTACTTTGGACAGTATGCACTTTTTTACGGTCCCTTGCGCTATTATAACCTCTTGAATGTGAGCATATTTTTTTTAATCTCTTTCCCTTTTCTGTCATCTATTTTGTATGCACTGAGAGTACGTACATTTCGTATATGATTCGGCTGCTATACATATAAAGTAAAGAATGGCATCACTACACAAGCTTACTTTGCAAATTACAGTAAAACCTCTCTTAGATCGGCACCTACGGAACTTTTTTAAATCGTCCACTTTACGGAGGTATGAAGTCTTATAGTGGTGCTCAAAAATATTTCTCGTACACTGCATTACAAAGGATACTGTTACGTATACTACCAATCTGGTTGTAGACTTTCCATTGTGCCACGTATTGCACTCTTATCACCTGATACCTTCTCTTCACCTGGGTTTAATTTCTATTTTTCAGCAACAATCCAGTTTTTCGAAGAAAATCCGTTATCAAGCTTTGTCCATTAGTTTTTGAATCCATATAAGCATCGGTCAATTTTTATTTGCGCTATGAGAACCCAGCTTCGTCGACACAGTCGTTGATAAATGTGACCTTCTTGTTGAGCATAAGGTAATGATACGGCTTCATTTGTCAATGATTTCGCCCAGCAATATCAAACAACACGACAATTTATCTTTCTCTTCAGTGAATGAGCAATTAGAAATGTATAGGTGGATCATTTTCCTTGTTAAACGTCAGAAGAGTCTTTTCTCTTTTCCATTCGCCGAACAACAAGGAACGATAAGGAGGAAAAAGAATATTCTACTCAGTCAACATTGACTATATGTACCCACTCAAGAGAGAGCGGCCATACAGAACGACCTAAAAAATAGTGTATACTGCTCAGAGATGGAAGGTGCTCTTGCTATATAGGCTCAGTTCCAACAAAAATCGATCGATCAATCTGCCAGATACCTATATAGAGAGATTTCACTGTAATTCATAATAATCATGATAGTAATGTTTTATTACAATGCAAATTGGTTGAAAAATATAATATATTATTCAACTTTATATCAAATATTTTAAAGCATAAAACAGAATATTTAAATGAGTATGAAACAAATTAGAATCAAAGTGTTAAATGAAAATTAAAAGGTATCAATGAACAAAAACTAAACGATCAAGTGTACGAATGATTCGTATAGCAAGGGACAAGAGAAAGTTAGTTCAAAAGCAAAAAAGACAATCAACATTAGAGAATTCCTTTTAAAAACAATTAAATTTTGTGTTGTACCTGAAAAATCTTTTGAGTCACATCATTCAGATGACAATAAGTCACAACAAGCCATACTTCAGCTCTCTAAAGTGAACACCTCTGTATAGTGAACACTTTTAAATGGTCCTAATTGTGTTTACAACAGAGAGATTTTACTGTATATGTAAGACACTCACAAGTTAACATTTTAACACTATTTTTTTTTCTATTTTCGTGATAGTGGAATAGAATCCGTCGAGTTACATAAGAAAAGTATGTTTCAAACTTAAAGAAGAATTCAAAAACACTTGTCAATGCGACCATTTGATGAACCAACATGTGGAACTAACAAACTTTCACCGTTTTTCTTCGTTTCGTCCGTTCATCCATCATATTAGCTTGCTATACACATTGATTTAATCGTTAAGTAAACTTCCGAGTACACCATCCTTTCTTTCGACGAAATTTGACTTATACTATAGCGTTTTGCCTAAACTTAGAATTAAACTAGTTCATACTATTTTGACTCTGCTAGATCAATAATACCACCGCTCTACTGATTGATACCTACAATAAGATCCTTTTGCTGTATTAAGTACTAAAACCTGCAATATTTTGACTAATTAGAATTTACAGTAGAAATCTTAGATTCATAGAATGCTGGAAGCACTGTTATTACTGGCATATCTTTTCTCATTTCTAAGAAAACGTATCCAATAATTTTTGCCTTTCCTCCTTCCATCTCTAGTTACTAGGACCTGAAGGGAAGCCGTAAAAATCTCGATTTAAACTTACATTTACTATTTTCATCAAACATATATGTGAGTTTCACAAACAAATGAATGAAACAGGTTTGAAGTACCATCACGAGAAAAGAAAAATAAATAGTGTTAATATCTTGAGTTGTGAGTATCTTATATATACTGTAAATACCGAAAAAATCGATTATCTCGCTCGGTGCACGCCATGAGCAGCTCATATTTTAAATTTGTTAGTTTGACAGTAAGGACTTTAATTTGACCTGAATATGTATAATGTTCTTAATTAATAGTACAAATCCTTCCATTGTTAGTTGAATAAGAATTCTCACGACATCTTAATATTGTATTTATTTTCATGTTATAAAAGAAAATCTTAATTTTAAATGATTAGTGTAATTGAAATGAAGGTTAATCGCCGGGATAGCTCAGTTGGGAGAGCGTCAGACTGAAGATCTGAAGGTCCCTGGTTCGATCCCGGGTCACGGCATCATTATTTCTTTTTTTAGATTCTTTGCTTTTCTCTTTTTACATAAATTCATTTTATTAAATAGACGTGTCACATTACTATTATTTTTTTTTTACTACTTTTACCTATTAACTGATAATGATAATTATTACTTTTATTAATCAATATTTTTTATCACAACATGATTTGTTTTTATTATTTTAATGACACTAGAACTTTCATTGTTCCTTATTAACGATATATGAAGTAGTTTCATGTAACTTTATTACTAATTAATATTATTATTTAATATCTTATTATTTATTACTGATAAAAAGTAATAAAATTTTTAAAAATAGTATAAATAATACGTAACAATGAGTAATAAATAATTACAATAATTACGTAATAACAAAACAAAATAAATACAATCAATATGACATCGATGAATAAAACATACAATGTATTGGTATATCAATTTTATTTTTGCTCGAATACTATTCTGTAGATGTTCTTCGAAATGCTAAATGCATAGAAAGGCAAAGCAATGTAGGGTTGAATCTAATTATAAATGCTCATTCTTTCTTTTTATTCTCCTTGATCACCACAACGATAGTGTCGGTATGGATCTTTTCTTAATACATACTCGATTAATAAATGTTGCATCAATAATATCTCGAACTTCACGAAAAACGATACATTTGTTTCTGTCGATAATTCTTTATTCTGTAATTTCATAAGTGCCGACCATTTTCAAGTAATTGAATCGAATTGATTCACCACAAGAATAAATTCTTTTTTATTTTTGAGATATAGAGCTCATCAGACAATAGTATATACTGTTCTATAAAAAGTTTTAATTTTTTTTTCTAAAACTTTCTAATAGAACAGAAATGAGAAAAATAATATTCGTTCATTGTCATCATGAGTCCTTCTCCTCTGAAGAAAAGTTGTTAGAACAATCCCTCCAAAGTTAAAATGTAAAACACGATGTAATTGTAGTTGCTAACCACAGGGAAATTATTTTATTCTATCCATTTTGGGACACATTTATTCACCATCATTCTTTTACCTAATCTTTCAGAAATGTATGAAGTAAGAAACTCATATATTATAACGAGACGTTATTGATATACGGTCTTTGATCATATATCAACAATGTCTGGCATGAGTTATGACATTTCTATGGTTATGTATGTCACATCCATGAAGGGAAGGGGGATCACGTGAACGTGGTCTAAATTGCTACCTCTAGACGTTGTTGATACTCCTTTTAGATCGTGTTTCACAAAAGCGAAAGCTAGCTTTGTCTATAACGTTAATACTCTGTGACAAGAACAGAACAATAAAGAAACCTGCAGTAAATAGAAATGAACATTGTTCTACTCTTTCTATTGTTATGATAATAGATCGCCATTCAGATTTTCTAGAAGAAATCTTAAGACAACTTCCCTATGTTATGTCGTTCCCTATTAGTGGCCATATTCCTCAAAATCATTAGTAGATTTAACCGTACAGGATTTAATCCAACGATACTCAAGAAAAATTCTTTTGTTTATTTCTAGCTCATATGACTTATCAAAGTATTAAAGGAATGATTTCAATTGCCATTGAAGATATTCGTACCGATAATAAACTTAATATTATTGTTATCAAGTTTGATTTTGGTAATGTTAGTATTAGTTTTAATAAAGGAAATAGTACATTTACTAGTTAAAGTTTGTATTTCACCAACTCCAAACCATTTATTGTCATAATCAATGATGTTAATCAACCTGATATCATTGTCACAGATAGAAATAGTATTAGTATTATATTTAATTATTATGATTGATACATATTTATCAATTGTTATCGTAGTTTGGATTATTTTCCATTTATTATAAGTTGTATACTTTCTTTCTTATTGCTTTATTCGATTGGTTTTTATTTTATCAATTGCCAATAGTTTGTCATATATGCTATTCAATGTGTAACAGAAATAAATTTTTATTCACATGGAGTTATTTAAAAATACAATACTGAAGTTGTTTCATTAGAAAATATTCTATATGAATTTCACAAGGATAACTAACGATTTACTTCAAGAAAAATTATCTTCAAAAAACAAATCTTTTTTCGCAAAGTTCGAAAATTTACAACTACTTTGATAAAAAAATTACAAAACATCCGCATTGACTCATTATTAAAGAGAGTCATTCATGGTGCTATATCTATTAATTGAGCGACCTATATTATCAAAAATAACTCGCTTGCTTCATTGAGATAATCGAAAAAGGTTGGACGCAAGAATGATAAAAACACATTTAATAACTCGAAATAGCCTAGATTCAAATTATATGAAATGATAAACATAAAATTAGTAAGCATCTGTCTCTAGCTGCAAGTATTTTGTCATATTAAAAAAATTCTATTTTGATAGTATATAGTAGTAGACAAAAGTTTCTCTGTCTAGATGAACTTTATCATATTAAGTGATCAAATGAAAACATTTTTGATAGAGAATTGTGTAAGACGTGAAAGAACGATCGTATATTTAAATCTTAATGAAACATATAAATCTCTCCCCTCAGAACAAGTCAATTTTCGTTAGAATTATCGAAATTAAGATCAATGTATGGGAAGATAATCTGAAGTCTGAACTTCCATAAAAGACATGATTTTTTATTTACCGTCTCGTTTTTTTTTCAAAAACTTTTTGATGAGTTCTGTCATCATCTGCTTGAAAAATATTCTGTTTTCAGAATCTCGACTTCTGGATTTTTGATCGTGCATCTTAGAAGTCTCCAAAGAGCTTTATTGTGACCAATTGCTCTTTTTTTTCGGTTGAAAGAACATGTCAAGATGTAGGACATGGCAGAGTTCCTTTTTTGAATTAAGCTTTGTTACTATTATATGAAAGAGTACTTTTGTAATTAGAGCATCAGTTTTTTGAGACATTGAACTTTCCTCCCATTAAAAAAAAGTAAAAATTTAAAGGCAGAGCTCCTTGATGCCCTGCAGATTGACATGATCTTTGAAGCAAAAAGAAAATTAAATATATAGAAGGAAGGCTTCCTCAAACTGAAAACTTTACTATAGTCGCAAGATATCTTGAAAATTTCATACAATTTGAATGTACCTGGCACAAGATCGATTTATGAAAAGTAGGAATGCCTCAAATAAAAGTTTTCAAGTGATTGAGAAAGATGTTGCTTGACAAGTACTAATTGATTTTTCTATATCATGTGGTGTTAATGATCGAAGCAAGATAAATATGAGTATGGATTGTTTTTCGTACATGAACTTGAATATGTGAATTTATTAATAATTATGGTAAAACATGAAATTACATTAGAAAATATTTCATAAAGTTTATTAACAATAAAATATTCAAAAATATATAGTAATATATTTTTGTGTAAATCCTGTAGAGTCGTTTGTGTCGTCATATGTATGAAGAAAAAGAAAGTACAAAATAGTTTATTTGATCAGAGAAGAAAGTCAGATGATCGGTCTTTTTGTTTTGTTCTGTTAGTTTATCATTTTTGATTTCTAATGTACATTTTATATTTATTTTATATGCTTTAATATAAACAAATATTTTACATCGAAGAAATAAAAAAAGAAAAATCAGATTTCTTGGTTTGTTGCTAAAGATTTTCTCATTATTTAGTTTTTCTTTATTTTCATAAATAAAATCGATAAAATTCTTCATAAACATTATTATATGGATGAATTCTATTTAAGTGTAAACAGATTGATCATGATTTTTGTTTGTTTAACTTTTAATAAAAACTTCAACATATGAGTAATCTAAAATCGATTTGATGTTAAATAAAACATGATGATAAGAATTATAATGTATTACTGGATATAATCATTGTATTTCTATTTCCAAGTTGTTATCATTTTCCGATTGAAAATTGACTGAATTGAATAAGAAAATGATTAATCTAAGGAATTTAACTTATAAAAGAAATTTCATAAAGAATAATGAAAAAACTAGAAATTAGATGTAAATTGTTCATTCGTAATATGTATAACTTTGTATAAATAAATTCAATTGAAAAAAAAATAATATATTACAATATATTTCAAATTAGTTTAATTATAAATTTTTAAAAAATAAAAAAAATATTTTGTTGAATATTCACATTTCAAAATATGTTATTATAAATCTTTTTTAATTGTTTCAATAAGTTGTTCATCAGGTATACTTGTTTGATTAGGAGAATTTTTTCGAATAACTGATATATAAAACATTAGTCGATGATATGTATCTTGATTTGATATACCTCGACGAATTGTTCTAAAATCCATTTTAAGTACTGTAAATGGATTTGAAATACATTGACGTACTGTATAATAATTTTCATTTTGTAATAATAGATTAACATTTATTTTATCATAATTTTTTGTTGCTTCATGAAATAAATCTGAATCAATAAATGGTGATGGATTGATATATTGAACTGAATTATCAGCTAATATTGGAACTAATGGAATAAATAATGATGAATAATCACAATTATAATCTATATGAAATGCTTGTCTTTGAGAATTAATTGGATTTAATAGATAACCATAACCATCTAATATAACTGTATTTGTATGATAATATTTTTCCATTAAAATATGTACCATTTTATCTATTTCATAATAATTTTTATATGTTATTTGTTTTATTTGATTTCCTGTTCGTTTCCATAAATTAATCCAAAATACTTCACGTTTTGATATAGCTAATTCATATTTATCTTTTAATATTAATTGAAGTTCTTCATAACAAACAAGTTTCTATTAAATTTTTATATTCATTTGATACTGATTTATAATGAATAAAACCACCTTGATATGATTTTGATACATCTTCATAAATAATTTCATTAATTGCTGGTTCTTGTTTTCTTGTTGGTTCAATCCATGACTGAATCATACGAATACCATATGCTAATTCACACCATATATGACATAATGATGATATAAATAAACAATAACGATTTAATAAAAATAATATTAATATTAAATTTTGTTCTTGTATAATTGAAAAAAGATTAATTATTGAAATTAATTTATTATATCCATAACAATATTCTAATATACATAATATACAATATAAATAATAAACATACCAAATAAAACTTCCAAATTTAGTATAAGTATTTAAAGGTATTGACCAATCAAGAATAATAAAAAATCCAGTTTGATTCTTATTTAATATTGGATATTTTCTTGTTGTAGTTATACCAAAATCAAAAATTCCTGTGCCAACTTCAATAAACGTTGCAATAACAAGCCAAGAAATAATATTAAAATCATATCAAGCCCACCATATAACTATAACTATTTGACATAATAAATCAGCTAACCAATCAATTCCACATCCAAATATAGAACATTGATCATAAGCATGTGCTACACGTCCATCTATTGTATCTAAATAGGTTGCACCTAAAATTAAATATGCACTTAATAAATGCCAATCTGTAGTAATAGTATATGCTGCAATAAGAGTCATAATTATACGTATATAATCGATTATATTTGCATAAAAGAATTTAACATCATTGAATTTAGTAATATCATTTGTTTCCACGAATAATTGAGTAACCCATTTACCACCTCGAAATGTTAAATACTCCGAAATAGGTTTTGTCATTTTGACAGAAATAAATTAAATCTAAAATTTAACAAATTAGTCTAATAAATATTCTGAAAATAGAGAATGAAAAATGTATGCTTTGTTTTTTTTTTCTATTTGTATATATCGAAGAAAACTGAAATTAAATCTATAAGCAATACATATGAATGAAATTTCAAACAATTTGACTTCACTTTCGGATTCAAAATAACGATAAAAAAAATATGTTTCTCTATTAATAAAATTGGTCGTCAATGATTTTGTCTCCTATTGGATATTTTTGATTTAATGTTTGTGTTTATTACATAAAATTATATGATAGTGTAGGTCACGCATGACTGACCGCAAGGTGAATCAAAGGACATTTACATCGTGTTCATATGCCATCCTTTTTACATATATACTCCTTTCACCTTCTCGAAATGCTATTAACAGAAAACATTTATCTAGTTCATTACCTTCTCATAGTTTTATAAATGAAATATAAAAGAAAAAGTTTGTAGTAGTTATTTATAAATACTATTCTAAAATGAAACAAAAGTCATTTTTTCTACTTTGAAATATTTAAAGAATGGATATTTAAATTAAAGCAATGAATCGACTATAAGGAAACATGTATCTTAATATATTTTTTTTCTTGTCCTTTTACAAGGTCTTTATACGATCATAATTATGAGGGAATTACATAAAGCGTGTAACATGAAAAGAAGAATGTAAAAAAAAATACATAACGATTTTGTAGTGTACATATTCCAATGGTAACATTTTTCTTGTTCAAATTACAAAGAATGAGTTAGGAAAAAAAAATTTAATTTGCAGTAACTAGGAAAGTTCTTTCATAAAGAAATCGCCTATAAAGTTAATATTAATTTTGATTGATGTTGAATCATTTATTTACATGGCAGAATAATTTATTTATGGTACAATAATATCTAACTTTCTTCATTCTTCGGTTCAGAATACATACATACACACACATTAAGCGGGAGTGGAACACATGCCTTTATATAGAGAATAGAGATGGTAAGAAAAAAAAACAGAAGAAAAAGAGCAAAAGGGTAAAATAAACGTAAATAACAAGGGCAATGTATAATCTTGTGTATTGACATGAATCATAACGATTTATTTTATGTCATCCAAAAATATATACAGAGTGTTCCAAAAGTCCGATCGAAAAGTAAATTCGTATAACTCCATTATTTATCAAGCTAGGTTAACTAATTTTTTTTCAATGATAGATACTACTGTGAAGTTTTAATTGAAATGGATAAGTTTTATAAATACTGTTCAAAGTTACCACTTTTAACTGAAATACAAAAATCAGTCGTTTTCTCATTTCGAAATAAAAATGACGGACTTTTTATCTTCTAATGCTCCCATTTCTTGCGTTTTTTGTGATATTTAGATCGACCAGATCTTATGCTATCATTTAAGACAATGATTTCTTTTTGAAATGAGAAAACAACTGATTTTTGTATTTCAGTCGAAAGTGATAACTTTGAACAGTATTTATAAAGCTTGTCCAGATCAATTAAAACTTCACAGTGATATCTATCATTGAAAAAAAACATTAGTTGAATTAGCTTAATAAGTAGTGAAATTATACGAATTTACATTTCGATCGGACTTTTGGAACACCTTGTATAATTAAAAAAAAAACTTTATTTTAACGAAGTATAATAAACTTGAATATACGATAATTATTTGTCTTTGAATACTATCAATTAAATAGATATTCAATGGCAATTTCAGATGATCTAGCTATGTGAATATATTACAAAAAAATTGATTCTATTCATTGAATTAATACAAAATATTTACATACGACTATTTTTAGTATTAGAAACACATACATTATCTCGTTAACATAATATAATTGCTTTTGACTCATGAAATTTGCGTAAATACGAATCTGATGATTCATCAACATATTAAAACATGATTGCCATCGTATCAATACTTAAGGCTAATTTTTCTACTTTATTATAGCTGCTTTCAACACCAGATAATGCAATATCATACTATATCATGTAAGTTAGCGACAAAGAGATTTTTCTATTTTAGTATCCTTAATCAACGAAATATCTATAACAACCTACTACGTACGTACGATATATCGTAGGGTTCCAGTGACTCTTTTGTAAGATGTGATATTTATTTTTTTCTGTCACATAGAGATCTGTATCCTTTATATTTATTGCCAAATGCTATGAATTTTTAGGTTCAACTAACAATGGCCCGTTATTAGTATTTCCAACCATCTTTGTTGTGGCAAAACTTGTATCGAATGGTTATATATATACATATTATTCTATTATTATTTTTATGCATGATAAACGACGTATCAGTTGTATATTACAATTGACTCATAGATGATATTAACTTCAGAATCATAATATCCATTCGATGAGATATCAGATACTGTGTATTCTCTGTTAAATGTCCGATAAAAGTCATTAAATAAAATGATTGTTCTTGTCTGCAACGAATATCGATATTATTAAAGAAACACTAGTCGATTCATTCGACTTAAATACAAGAAAAGTATAGTTGTTTGAATTTTCATTGATATGAGCTATAGGAGTAAAGATTTGATTTCAACATAGTGTTGCATCTATCAAATCGTGATAGATTGTTTGCCAATTAAATAGAATCATGATACTGCATGAAGGGTAATCAGACGATAATATCAAATTTCCTTTGTTTTGTATATAACTTTTTGTCTGGAGAAGTATCATATATCATCAAATATATTTGTAAAAAATATTATACTTCAAGACTTTGGTTTACTTGATTTTAAGTAAAAAATTCGTCTCATGATTAGATTAAAAATTATTTTCAAAGGCAACCTAATATCATTTTCAATAGGTGAGAATAATCATGAAATATACCAGACTCATATAGAATTTAATCGATTTTCATCTTGCTTGCACTTTATATAGAAGTTAATCATACTTCAGATCTGCTTCTATATGTTACAAATCTAAATAAATAAATATATATATATATATATATATGACTAATCCTGTATTTATTTAAACTCTCATGAAGACATATAATTAGTTTGATGCTATTATTCTTGTCGAAGTAGTTATGCAACCATATATATACCTGAAAATAGTAAAACATAGACACGAATAAATAATATTCATATATTTTGTGATTGTTCTAATAATAATTATTATTGGTGTTACTGTCGATGTTGTTTCAGTAGTTATGAAGGACGATTCCGATAGTATCTGTTGTAAATAAAAAAAAAGTGATGTTATTCATTACTTTAAGAACCATATCATTCGAAGTATCGGTTTGAATCCATTGATATGTATTATTACTGATTCAAAGAATTTCATTCAACAGCAAATATATTTAAAGCAGTACGTGTACATTGTCTGTATGTCATATCGCAACGCATAATTGGAAGGCATGATCTACTCAATTCTTGATTCAACATAATAAAAAAAAAAAAA